CTCTGCCAATCCCTCCACTGGCTTCCATCCCACACCCCCCTCTGCCAATCCCTCCACTGGCTTCCATCCCACACCCCCCTCTGCAAATCCCTCCACTGGCTTCCAATAGCCCAGAGGATAAAATTCCAAATATTAACAACCACTTACAAAGCCATCCACAACTCTGCCCCCGGTCTATCCCACCTCAACCTATCCGCTCAACCATCACGTTCTCAAACAATTCATTTCCACACAGCTCCCTCCTCATTTATCACTGGCCCCTCCCTTTTAGATTGTTAGCCCTCAGGGGCGGGGCCCTCCTTACCATCTCGTGTTGAATTGTATTGTGATTGTAATGTCTTCCTTATATTGTAAAACGCTGCGCACACTGTTGGCGCTATATAAATCCTGTATAATAATATTAATTTCATGAGTCACTTAATTTTGTTTTATTGATATTTGAAATGATATCCAGCGGTTTTATATTTCTTATTATCTTTATTGATCAATATTATGGAAATTTTGATCCATATTCCGTATCGTCACCGGTTACATTTTGATGATTATTTTGCACCGATTATTAGATAATAAATATATATATATTTTTGCACATTATTGTTCAGGTTAGCGCAAATAAAAGAAATCGAGTTATTAGTTGATTTGTGAAAATAAATTGGGAATCTCCTTCATTACAGATCCCGGCTTGTTTTCATCAATAGAAAGCTGTTTATTTTATCAGAGTGAACATTCTAACAGACAGTAATGTCGGGATCCGTTCTGGCTGCGGCGCTCCCAGTTTTTAGCGGGCAATGGCCTGTGATATTTTCTAGAGAGACTTCTGCGCTCGATTACTCTTAAAGGAGAACTATGGGGTCAGTGCTTTTCCCCATAGTTCTCCTTAGGGTAACGGGAGGATACAAACTAGCGTCCTCCCATCACCCTCAGTATACCGCGAGCTGTAGCTGGCGTTATACTGAGACGCCGCAGCTGAAGCGGATCCCGACAATTGTGCCGGGATCCGCCCAGCTGCGTCACTGACAGCTGGCTCTGCCTATCTAGAGACAGAGACAGCTGTACCCGCCCCCTCCCCCGTCCGTTCCGCCAGTCAGCGCTGGCGGATCGGAGAGGGGAATCCAGCCCCTCCCCTGTCATGGCAGAGAGCCGTGACAGGATCGAGAAGTGAGCGAACGCCGGCATGTGTTCACTCACCTCCCGATCTACTGAGCCGACCTGTGACAGTCTCATTGTCACAGGTCGGCTAGAACTATAAGGTGAGTGAAAAGCAC